TCCTTTCCTTTCCTTTCCTTTCCTTTCCTTTCCTTTCCTTTCCTTTCCTTTCCTTTCCTTTCCTTCTTTCCCTGACTGTGCTAGACAGCAATCAACTTTTGTGGCAGAGGCTTCATCTTCATCTGCAAAGTAAGCTCTAATCTAGCTGAGTCATGTGTATGAGACTTCTGCCAAGTCAAGCCTGAGAAACTGAACTGAGAGCCAAATTCTTTAGAAACCCATGATTTCCTGTTAAGCTAAGGCTTGAAGGCTAATAAATTTGATGCACTATGGGTAGCACACAATCATTGAAAACTTTTATGGGGTAGATCCATTAGCACACAATTTAAGTGTTCATGGGGTATATCTCCTTTGTGGATGTTATAAAAGCAACAAAAAGATAATAACCAAATTATATAAAACCTGCAGGTAAGGATCGTTTTCACCCCCCTGCTCTAATAATAACCTTTCATATGATCAGCATTCCAGTCTCAAAAGGAAGAGTTCAAAATAAATAAGATTTCAATACCATAGAAATCTACTATCACAAGTATTACAAAGAGATTTTCCTTCTAAAATTATTCAAGAAAGCTATAAAGCTGAAAATACTCAATAACCTCACTAAAAACACAATCAGGGAGTGATTAGGTATACCCAATCATCTTCCCAGTGCCAGTAACAAGATTATTCAAGAACCTTGGCATCTTTTAATTCCTAGAAGTGGTTGTGCAATTCTTCATATCTAGGTCTCCAGCAATCCAGCCAAACAAAGGCAGGCTGTTACAGACATAGTTTTGAGATAACATCCCAGATGAACAAAACAAAACAAAATTTAAAAAGTGATGATATATTTAGCCACTGTTCTATCTGCCCCAATAATTTTGAAACAAATGTGAGAAATCCTCTAAGTAACATCTTGGCAACTGTGGGCTTGACCCAGGTCACTGAGAGCCAAACACAGACTGGAGGTCATTAGACCTGGTTTTGTCTCAGGGCAGTTGTGATGTGATCTGAATGTGGAGGATCTTTCCATCAATCCTTGGATTGGATTCCTCCAATGCCACTTCTCACTGTACATCAACCCCAGGGGTCTCCTTGGTTCATCAATCTTGCCCAAGAAAGAGGGAGACAATCTTCTCTGCTGCAACAGCTAAGTGAAAGCTTGAAAAGTTTGCCATGCCTGTGGACCTGTGGTTTCAAAGAGGGTGCATAATTGGAGTGGGCACCAATGGACTTTCAGCAGTTCCTTAAATATTTACGTGGGATACACGGCTAACACGATGAGCCCAGGAAAAGTTACAGCTTTCAGAAGGTGTCAGTAACTACTATGATGTATCTGCCTTTGCCCACTCCAAAGCTCCTTTTCAGCTTCCAGTCTCCTTCACATCCTTACAGAATTCTCTTCCTGGAGAGAACTACAAATTGCACTTACAAAAGCTTCCAATCAATTTGGAAGTTTTCACCCAATGGGCAATCCTAAAACATCTGCCTATCAGTCAAGTGGACATGAATGACATTCTTTTCATTTCTGCAGAATGGAATCATTATGAGACTGAATACTTTCAGAAGACAGGCTGTCTGTAGTTCTCTCAATGCCTCTTGGAAAATCAGTCCATTCTCCTCCTTCTATCTGTAGTTTACTCAGGAAAGCATAGTTATTTAGCCCTCTGATTGTAACTGGTTTCCCTCTTGTTCTCAATTCTTGATTTTATTGCCTGGCCTTGACTGGTACAATGCAAGTTCTACTGAAAGCAAGAGAGATTTTGTAACCCCAAGATCAGAGAACTCTGCCCCAGATCAGTGTGAGCAATAATATTCACCTAGCGGCACTTTTCCTCTTGGCAAACTTCTGAGGTTATATACCAGCATTGGGTGGATCAAAAGCTAGATCATGTTACTTTCTTTCTTTCATTGATTCCCACCAAATGAAACACCAATATGTTTCAAAATATATCATACCCCTGAGTTCTCATGAATAGTTATTACATCCTTGAATTTCTAAGCATGAGGAGGTGGAATGGAAAAGAATGTAATAACTTTCCCCATCCTTGCTATGTTAATTGCCCCTTTGGCTGTACAGAAAGAGTCTGTGGGCACGTGAAGCCCTGTTGCAGTCACCCTGTGGCAAAGTAGATTGTAAGAAGAGGGTGAAGCTTACTTATGCTTCCTTCCCACCTTCCTCGTGTTTAGACATGACCCGGTGAATTGAGAAAGTAAGAGTGCTATATATCCATTAACCTTTTTATACTAATCTATAGCTTCTTATCTATGTGTATGCATGTATTCTTACCCAGAACACATGAGCATAATCATTTCATAAATGAAAATTTTCTCTTAATTACTTCTTTTCTCATTTATTACTTCTGCAAGTACAAAGAAAAACTAGAAAAAACACAATGAACAAAAATAGATTAAAATGAAATTTACAAACATAGTAAAATTAGCCCAAAATTCAAAAGGATGTTAATATAAGTCTGCAATTTGAAAATTTGTGTCAGTGCTAACATGTTGTTATTTAAATGGAGTTATTATGCAGTAATCAACACCAGTCTAGCGCAAATCATAAATTATAAATTGCAGTAATTTCTGCCTGATCTAAGATGTTTGCCATGTGCAAAGCCAGCTGAGTATTCTTTCTGGGAATATAAAAGTTCGTAACATTTAATTTAAAAAAAATGATAGCCACCTGAAATGAAAAACTTTCCTTTAAGATTGATTTCATGCTGTTATAAATCAGGTTCCAGTATTACTGGGCTTTATAACAGTGCTACCAAACATGACCGAAGTCATCAGCCCTGATTATTGTATTTCTGACAACGCAATAGAGAATGAACTGTCTATTCTGGTAACCAACACTGAAGTAATATATCATCAGTAGAACATCTTTTACCAATTTCCTCTGAATGTAGCACTGACTGTAAATTGATAATTTTCTTCCATTCCTATTGTTATGTATTAATTGTTCTCTTTAAATTCTGCTTCCATTTAATCATACAGTCTTTGACTTGTTCGCTTTCTGAATCATACTGATTTGATTTTGTGTAATATGTTATTCATAAATCCTGTCAGGCTGTAAGTGGGTTTTGTAATTCCTTCTTGATTCTGCTACTGATTTGTAGATATTGCAACTGATGAGGTGATTCTGGCCATTCAGAAGAGAGAGCTTCAAAGGATTTCATCCTTGTCTTCTTAATAATGAAATCTTGCAGTCCATTCAAATTGTTATCCCTCTACTGATCAATTGCCTTTGCATATGAAAGTAAATATTTCATCTTGAGGTAAGAGGCAATGGACACTTTTCTATGTTTGTCTCACATTTTTAAGACACTCCTTTTATTGAATGATGCATTATTGGTTGTATTGTTCTACTTGTAGCAGACCTAAGGTATGTGTGCAAATTCAATCTCTTATCCCAGTTAAACAACTAGCCTGGTAACACAATTGGCCACCTGTCCACCTCCTTCTTTCCAGTGTTATACATTTTTGAACTTGAAATGTCCTAGGACATTTCTTAGACTGTACGACATCAGTTGCTCATCTCACCAGTGATATAGTGTCTTGTCTTCTGTTCTTACTGGGATCCCTTGGAACAAAAACTTGAGCCTTGGCAAGATGTTCATCCCAACCAGAACAGTTACAGCTTTTTCCATCTTTAAATATCTGCCATTCTATTTCCCCAAATCTGGGAATCATTGTCCATAAATAAATATTTTTTCACTTTTTGTGAAATAAATTCCCAGTAATGTTAAAGGTCATTGTTTCCCATTGGTACTGCTTTTTTATTTCAGATAAATTCTGTGTCGTGTGGACTCCTTGGGGTTCTTTGAGCTTGGTTCGTTTTTTTGCAAACGTTTCATTACCCGGCTAGGTAAAATTGTTAATGCTTAAATGGGCTTAGGT